ATCAATGAATATTAATAATACAGCAATATTTACTCATCGAATTAAATATTTCGAGTCGTTGGGATGAAAATAGATTGTACTGATGTGAATTTAACAACATAATTGGACAAAATTCAGCAATTTTTAGCAAACAAGCCCTGAAAAAAAATATCTCTTTTCTCTGCTTTTTCTTCTTTCCTGAATCATTTTTATACTTGAATCAAAAACTGATTTAATAATCAGAAATGAACAATGAATAAGAGAACTTTTTGCTCTTTTTTTTCTTTCTTAAAACAAATTATATCACAAAGCATTCATTTTATAAATGGAAGAAATACAACGATAATAAAAAGTATGAGAAGAAATTTAACTTCAAATAGTGTTTTTAAAAAGAATTTTTTTCACTGTAATATTATTTCATAAATCACTTTGATGGTTTCATCATGTCTTTGTTCCTTTGTTTAAAAAAAGAAAAAAAAATTCAATGTTACTAATTATCATGAGTGCTTGGTATTTTGTGATGGGTGATACGAAAGTTCTTCATTTTGATGAAAAGGACATTTCCAATCAGATGAAATGGTTTTACGGATGAATTGATTGAACTAAAGTAATTATTGTCGTTAAATTGAAAATTAGCAGTCATTAAAGTAATTTTTTTTTGTGATGTGATTGCAAGGAAACAAAAAAGGACAACATGAAAATTTAAAATAAAAAAAATTTAAACATCAGCATGAACTAAATTCATCATTTCTTTTTTTCAAATCATGTGATTCCAAAGGTATGACATATGAATTTGGGAGGAAAAATTTAGGAAAATTATAAATCAAAAATGTAATTTAAAACAAACTACATGATTAATTCCAGAAAAAAAAGATGCACATGAATAGCGAAAAAAGAAATTATATTAAATTTTGACATTAATTTCATTCAATGAAATGTCAATTAATATCAATTATCAGAAAATAGTAGATAATTTTGCTAAATAAAAGATAATTTTATTAAGAGAATTAACAAAAGCATGTATGAATAAGATTATATAACACAAATTATTCCGTAAAAATTTAAAAACCAAATTTAATTAACAATAAAATTCAAATATTTCACAACGATAATACGATATAATAGAGCGAAAACTCCTAAGCACACACATTATTTATCAGTGGACAATGTTGACAAGGGCAACAATATTAATTGTCACAATAGAAGCACACAAAACAAGCAATTATTGAGAACAAGAATTTTGTTTATTCCTTTTCTCCAGCACTCCACCGCGCTCATAGCGATACAATTTTCAGTTCATATCATTTCATTAACATTTAATAGCCTTTTGTATTCATGAAAAAAAAAAAATTTCATTTGAAAATTTCCTTCTATCAGTTAAGCTTTACTGTTATTCGATCAATATTAAAGAATTGCAATCAGTTATCAGTTAAGTGATAAAATTCACAGCTATCTAGTATGGTTAATCATTTTAACCCAAAAATTCATTTGCATTAATCCAATGAGCGATATCGATCATAAAGCATCCGGAAGAGATGTTCTATGAAAACATATGCGTGACCGAAAAGAAAATTATCAATTAACTTTAAGAATTATTTGATCACATTAAAGAATTGAAATCAGTTATCAGTTAAGTGATAAAATTCACAGCTATCTAGTATGGTTAATCATTTTAACCCAAAAATTCATTTGCATTAATCCGATGAGCGATATCGATCATAAAGCATCCGGAAGAGATGTTCTATGAAAACATATGCGTGACCGAAAAGAAAATTATCAATTAACTTTAAGAATTATTTGATCACATTAAAGAATTGAAATCAGTTATCAGTTAAGTGATAAAATTCACAGCTATCTAGTATGGTTAATCATTTTAACCCAAAAATTCATTTGCATTAATCCGATGAGCGATATCGGTCATAAAGCATCCGGAAGAGATGTTCTATGAAAATATATGCGTGCGATAGAAGAAAATTATCGTTCAATTAGCATTAAGAATTTTCCACACATCGCAATTTCAAACTCTTTTAAGCTAATCAATCTGGAGAGATTTAGACGAGCGTTATTTGTAATTTTATGAGTTTAACTTTCACAAAGAATTCCTTGAGTTGTTCTGAATCAATTACTTTTAAATTAATATTTATATATTTAATTTTAAATTCACTATTCAATAAATATTATCATTATCGAGCAAAAATTTAAAAAGCAGGAAATAATTGACATATCTGAAACTTCAGTCCAATCATTCACGATAAAACGCGACAGTACGTTTTTCTTTTTTTGTTGTACTGTAATATGGTTATATAACATCGTTTTGCAACAAAATAAATTACTCCTTTGAAATATTCTTTATTCTAGACCATATATATGCTTAGCATTTGCAGTGGTAATATTAGCTACTTTCATCGGATCTTCATTCATGTAAGCTGCGATAAGCTCACAAATAGCTGCTAAAGCACATGGCTCATTTCTGTTGAATGATGTAAATTTATGAAAACTTCTTGCTTCATTTGTGATACGATTGCGAATTTCAGCTGGAATCCTCTTGTCATCAATTTTGGAATACATAAAAGGTGCATCAGTTTCCAAAAGAACCCTTTCTAGCGGTATTTTGTAATTACGCAACGCGTACTTTATTCCATTATCACTCCGATCTTTCCACAAAAAACCTGTAACAAAAACCGGGTTTTTAACAAACATATGCTAGGAATTCCAGCAGATCTCAAAAGACATTTAACTTTGTTATTTGAAATACACTAATTACAATGACACAAGGGACATTTTACAACAAAGAAAAATAAATTCAAAATGTGAATTCAAAAAAAAAAATTCCAAAAAAAAAACTTGTTTATTTGCTGGGTTCTGACAACCGAATAATCGTTCAAGTTCAAATGAACTATGAATAGTAAATGAATTTATTTTAAATTCTAACAAATCATCAATTCTGTACTAATTCCGACGAGACAAAAACATGCAAGTTACGCACTCACTTTTCAATTTAGCATTCCCTTTCTATTTTCTCCTTTCTCAATAAGCCTCTTCTATTTCGCATCTCCTATCATGAATTGATATTTTCACCTATTTCTTTATCAGTGACAAATGCTAACCAGTTAATCCAATGTAGCAGCCCATTTTGATATACGTTTCAGCTTCTGAAGCTTTACCCGTGAAGCAATGTATAACCACTGGAGGTAAATGCTCCTTATACCTTAGAAATATTTATTTTAATATAAATGTAGCTTCTTGCTCATGTACTTTACAAAAAGTTGTGGAAATGAAAATTATATATGCCTTTTAGAGTACTTACTATCAGTGATATCATGCATGAAATCACCTGGTCAACATAGCAATCATATCCTGATGTGCATCCCTTTCATGAATAAATAATGCTTTCTTCAAGTCACATGCTAATCGAAGCTGTAATGAGCAAGTTTTATGAGAAAATTATTGCAGTAAAATTATGATCTCATTTCCGAATTGTATTTTCAAAAAAGAGAAGTAATTCGAAATCATTTAATATGCTTATAATTTTTAAATTCAACAACTTGAAGACATTTTAATAGATTTAATGTCATTACGATCAGCAGAAAATGGATTTTAAAATGAGCTCATTGAAAGTCAGCATATTGGAGTTTCTCTCCTAATGCATAGTGATATCATCTCCGCGAAACATAATGAAATGCCTTGAGGGAAATTTCGATTATATGAACCTTGTTAAACATTTCAAAACGGATTCTAAATTCACAAAGAGAGTGACACATATAGATAGAGAGAGATTATTTTTAAGCACCTGTTCCTCGAAGACAAACTTTTGCTGGTCTTGTGGTGAAAAATTTCGATTAAAATCGAGACCACATTCACCTACTGCTACACAACCAGGTTCACTGCATAGTTTTTTTAGCTTACATATTGTATGATCATCAAATTCTTTGGCATCATGAGGATGAATACCTTCAACATCCGATGATTACTCTGTCCAAAACACAATAGTTGTCAGTAAACTACAGCTTCTAAAAGAATGGTAATCGAAACTTCAATAAAACAGCTAACTGTAATCCAACAGTATAATTTGTCAAACTTATTTATAATTAAACAAGTTGCAATAAATTCATCAACCACAATTTACAGTTTAATTAGTTGCAAAATTTTATATTGCAGAAATTAAATTCTCTTAATACCTGCTGTAGAGAACAGAAAATTTGGAAATTGCTGTGTCAATTCTAGAGCTTTCTCGCTCAATTTTATTGATGTTCCCGTAACCATTATTTTACACAAACCTGTAATAAAACAAAAAGGAAATTACAAAAAAAAAATGAAAGTTTAATGCATATACAATGTGAAATTTAAACATACAGAGAGTGCAATCATAGTCTCGAGTTATTTTCTCAGTTCCTGTTATTAAAGCATTTTGTAAATAATTATTAAACTATATCAAATATCTATGATATTCTTCTCGTTCATCGATAAACAAGTTACATTAAATAACTGGTCACTCTCACACAATATAACAATAGAACACTCCAACAATAGGAACATTCCAGTCTTTTAAGGAATTGATTTAAATAAAGACAGATGGATAAGTACATTCATCTTCTTCATATAAATCGATTCTTTAAAAGTAGATTAGTAGAATTATTTTTTTTTAAAAAAACAAATTAATAAATGACCTGCTTGTTTAGCTCTTTCAATAACCTCATTTAAATCATTTTGAAAACTAGGATGGCACAAATTAGCACCAATATCGATCAACTTGTAACAAAGTTTGTTGGCCATGTTGATAACTATTTCATATGAATTATCTGAAATATTAAAGGACAAGAGATGACAAATTGTAAATGCATATTTTCAAATTACTTTAAGCTTAGTCAGGTAATGTAACTGCAATTGCCTTTCCAGGTTGATTTTAAATGAAATAAATATTAAAATTAAACGTATTGATTTCATTCAAATATTCATCCCATCATTTCCTATTGGTACATAACAAGAAACTATAATGAAATTAAATTTAATAATCTGGTAACATTTCTTCAATTACACTTCATCATCGTTAACATTGCGAAGCCTAACTCTCTAATTTATTTTTTCAATCTTTATTACTACATTATTTCCTCCAATATCACTACTTTACATTATCTTATCACATTTCCTATCCTTACTTTACATTTATTCACCACAACTTATAATCCGCTCACTTTTCCTATCTCTACTTTCATTTCGTACTCTCGTTCTCTGTCCTTATCAATCTATAATGCCTCCAAAAATCGAACACTACCACAACATCTCTCACACAAATCACGTCATCCCCTTCCAATGCATATATTTCACATCCACTCTCACTTTCATTGAGTTCTAACAATTGCGCTGCAACAAATGAAGCAAAATTAAGGCTCATATTTAAAATTAGAGAATTTTTGTAGCGGTTGGAATAGATATTTGCTCCACGTATGTTAGATTTTAGTTGATTATATTGATTTGTGCACGTGGTTGTACGTTACGTAATACGTTCTCACGTATGTCATTAAATGTGTTTTATTTCAAGAGGTTTTCTTTTTCTACAAAAATAAGCATACCAAATTTATTCTTTTTTATCTTTCAGGTAAATTTGTTGAAGATCAAGGTAGAAAAGAGGGTAATGGAATCAAATTCGGCAAACAATGATGTACGTAAAATGATAGATACACTTGTGGCCGGATATCTTGGCAGACAAAAAGTAATCTTATAATTTATATTAATCATCTAATATCATGAAAAACGAGGAGTATAACTGATGATCTCTATTGTTTTTTTGTTGAAAGATATCGCTGATTTACTACTAATTTTTATCGTTTCCGTATATATTGTCCCCAGACTAAACTTCAATTTTACATTTTTTGCATACCTTTTTGAGTAACAGAATTGACGTTTTTTTGTTTTACCGTACTTTGGTTAAGTTTAACAGTTTATTTTACCTATCTAATATTAACTATTTTTACTTGCTTTTATCGTAATGAATTAGAATGCGAAGCCCAAATGACTAATTTAGAATATTGTTTTCTTGAACGAATGATATCTTTGCTCCATTGAGTCTTCTGAAACGTATGAAAAATTGGTTCAAACAAAGATATTACCAAGAAGGATAACATTTTTTATATCACTTTTCATTTTAATGCACTAAATGATATCACCAATCATATTTTAGTATTGGGAATCATTGAAATGTTTAATGAATGAATCGTCAATTCTACATGCTGCACAATGTGGAGGGGTGTCGATTGTTTTGGGTGATACCATTCATGGGAAACATTTGGAAGAAATCATCATTGTATGTCTGTTCAATAATTTATTTGATTATGCAAGAATATATCTGGAAGAAATTGCTATTTATTAATTGTCTTGTTCCGTTTCCTCTACATCCTTATTTTAAATCACTTTTTTTCTACCGCTTAATGGCTTAATCAATTATTCTTGTCTTCTTATAGAGGTAGCAATTGTAGTGGAAATCGAATAAGTGACATTTATTTGTTACTGCTCTTTTTTCTGATCCCCATTAAATTGTTTGATTTATGCTTTTTTTAGTTATTCAGTGAATATGGTAATTTTGGTCTAAATCCAGGCTTGCTTGACTTTGGAGTCAGGCTACGTTCACTTGCAAACGAATTTACGTCGTTGACAAATGCCGGTGCGCATTGGTCTGATGCCCAGAAATTGCTTTATGGCAAACATTCAACACCATCGTTGGTTCTTATTCTCTATTTAATTTAAAAATTTTGTTTTGCATTGTCATAAATAATATGTATTTATTTGACATAGGATTAAGATAATTATAATTTTTGCAGTGATATTATGTGGTTGCTTCTTCTGTACAATATTTTAGTTAAATTACTTTGATTTCAGGCGGAATTTTTCACAGCGATGTTTATCAGTAACGACTGGAGAGTTAAATGTTTGTGAAACAAATCAAAATATGTTACCTGCCGCTAATGCCGATTCGACGACAAGTATTTCCAGTCAACATAGTAATGGATCTACTTCTACCAGAAGGTGTAGAAATTCTGTATATGATTCTCACTAAGGTTAACTTAACTTAGCTAAACATTATGGGGAGACATAGGTAGTGAAGGAAATGTGAAAGTACTTTACAATTTTATTTTGTTATAAAGTAGTAGTATGAGTGAAGTACGATGATATCAATCGTTCAGTTCATTTTTAATTTCCAGTGCTTTTTCCTCAATCGGTACATCACTATTGTAGTAATAGGATGAGAATGCAGGATGACTGCATGCAAAATATGATCAGGCATTGATCTCTTGAAAGGTACTCACAGTATCACTCTTCTTCCATATAGTGCTGAAACTAATCGGTGATGCTACTTATTGCTTTAGCTTGATTTTAATTTCTAACAGCTTACTTTTGTACACATGGGATTTATGTGTTATGAATTGTTTGCAGGAAATGCACCCAACCAGTGAGTATAAATACCAGACGACGGGAATTCATGAAAGAAGTAGTTGAACCGGTTGTGCATACAGCCCAGCAAATTATTGACAATGGAAATGGCAGTATCACAGATCCCAATTCATCACTTTCCGCGGTTTGCACAATATCTTCGTTTCAGATTCAAACTTTCGCTGAAATTAAAAAAAAAAAACTTAAGTAGTGTGCAAATTTATTTTATGCTTATTTCAGCGAAAATTGGATTTAATTTAATATTTTTATGTTAGTTATCAATGATTACAATTGATGAAAATGCCGTTGGTACGTTGGATCGATGTATGGCACATGAAAATTTCGCTGAACTTATTGAAAGTATTGAACGAGATTTTCCGGACGGATTTTTCGATTCTTTCCCGAATTCGGATAATACGGAGAGCTTGCATGAAGCTGTTTTTAATGTTATATCATCGCAGTCCAGCGAAGCTCAACAGGTTGATTAAAAATCTACAATTCTAAGGCAGTCTTCATGATTCACTTGTTTATTCATTTTAATCGTCAATAAGAAATTATGATGTGAGGTGATCATCTCAGTATCTTAGGAAAAATAGATAATCTTATTGACTTAATTATTACATAATATTTATTATCCTTTAGTTAAAAACAATAATGCAATAAAAATCAGGCGTGATTCTTTGTTAAGATTCTTGCTTAGTGTTTTGCCTGATTAGTTTTTCGGATACATTCTCTTCCTTCAGGAACAGCCGAAAGATGACGATAGCCAAAATCTGTATAATATTCCTCATTGTGTGACAGTTGAAGAGTCAAAACCGTTGTGCTCTTCCACACCAACCAAGCTCAAAACTCAGGAAAAGTCTTCCTCAATGTTAGCAACCTCCGTAAGTTGGAAAAATATTCACATTTTATTTCTCCATCTTTTTTCCCATCTTTTTTTAATTGATAGCGTCATAGTTACCTGATTTAGAATTTGAAAGCATCATCAACTTCGAAAGATGAATCTCGTCACCTGCAACCTAAAGCTATGCGAAAAAAACCGGTAAAAATGTTTTATATGTTTTCTAAAGTAAAAATGATCTTTGGAAATACTCGATATTTCAAAGCATGAATTGTGAACATACTTTCTGAAACAGAAAATTAGGGTCAACGTCGTCAAATTCGAGTATTACTGTTTTGTTTTTTACACGATTGATTATGTCTTTTGTAAGGGGCATCGTTCCCATTCTGTCTTTTTATAAAAATTGTAGGTAGTTGCTGAAAGTGCGATATTCAAAGATCGGATAGAAGTAGAATGTCCATATCTACCGATTGAGGAAACTGAAAAAGAAGTTGATGGTGGGCGAGATTTATTTTTCTCTCCAGGAAATTTCATGAAATCATATGAAGATTCTTCTGGCAAAGCGAAAGTGGACCAGTTGGAAATATCTGCAGGCTGGAGGAAACTTGCTGAATTATGTGATGAGTCAAATAGAAAAGCTGTAGAGAGTGAGGAATGGAAGGCAACACAGAAAAACAATAGTTTAGAAACGTGCAAACCGACAAACAAAAAGCCGAAAGATAACGGAGCTAAATATCCATCATCATCCTCTACTGATTTAGAAATGAAAAAGAAACCTGTTCATAATAATACTGGTGTTACCGGTCATCAAGTGGAAAAATATATTGATGATAAAGGAACTGTACAAAACAAAAAATTCACTTCAAAACCATTCATCGAACGAGAAATCGAGCTCTTATTCGAAAATTCAGATGATCAAGATTGCGGAAAAACTCAAAAGATTGATGAGTGGAAAAGTTCAGATTTTGCGCGTGCTACATCAGCAAAAGAAAACGGAGAAGGATCGGAGGATAGAGATGAGATTTCCGGAGATGAAGGTTCGAGTGTTGGATACTGTCAACGTCAGGTTTCAACCAAATCTGTTACGAACAAGAAAAAAAGAAAATATCAAAAAAAAAAGTCAATAGGTAATGACTTTGCTTGTAATTCAAAGATTTCTGCTGCTAAAAAAAAGCAATTAGAAGAATTGTATGTTAGTTCACCAGTACGAGATACTGATCAACAAAGTGATAGCTCTCTTACTGGAGGTAATTCCTTACATAAAACCTCAGAGCAATACAAAAAGGAGAAATTTAGAAAGGTCGAAGAAGATCGTGAAGAAGCACGAATAAGTGCAGAAAGAAGAAAAAAAGAGAAAGAATTTTTAATGAAAAAGGAAAGAGAGGAAATTGAAAGGCAGAAGCGTGAAGTAGAAGAAAAAGAGCTAAAAAGAGCAGCTGAAAGAGAGCGAAAAAGAAGGGAGGAGGAAGAACGTGAGGCACGTGAGAAAGAACAGCGTGAAAAACGACGCAAAGAACGTGAAGATCGTGAGAAATTGAAGAGGATGAAAGAAAAGGAAGATAAGATGAGTAGCAGTTCCAATTTAAAAAGACAACGAGAACGATGTAGGGAAGGAAAATCAAAAAAAGAGCTAAGAAGCATTTTGCATTTCGACTCTAAGAATGATGAAGCGGATGAAGCAAGCATTTTAGATAGACTGTTTGGAGATGGTGATGGTTTGAAGCCTGCAACAAAGAATTTAGGTAAAGAAGAGGCAAAAAGAAAATCTGAAGAAAAGTATGCGAAGTAAGGTTTATCCCTCTTCTGTTTCAAATTTTAGTACTGAGATAGTTTTAGGTTAAAATTTAGCAAAAATATTCAATAAGTATTAAAATTGTATTGGATGTTTCAGGCCTTCATTTATTCAGAAAGGTGTCGAAAAAACGAAGGTCATAAAGGAGGAATGTCGTGCAAAAGGGGGAAAATTAGAGCGTGTTTTTGATATTAAAGCAATAAAAAATGCTAAGGTACTTTTTTCTTTCAAACTGTGATGTTTTAAGCTCTGTCATCTTACTGATTAAGTTGTTCCATTGATCGAATAGTTAAGTGGATGGTTAATTAATCCTTTCGGTTGTTTTGAACCGAGAGGCTTAATCCTTGTGAACAATGGTAGTTCAAAGTAACGTTCCGTATCTTTCGTTTAATAAATTAGAAAGTCATGTGAAATGAAAGTATTCAAGTATGGACTGATGAGAATAAAGTTTGTACTAAATTGTTGAAGCATCCATCCATTAGTTCTTGTCTGATTCACTATGCTCTCATTTATTACAGTTTTATGCTTTGCTTCCAGGGAAGTGGTTCAAATCGACCAGATGCATTGGATGATCTCTTTAATTGCCTTGCTGCAAAGCCCGGTATTTCATTTGTTTACGTCTTCAACCATTTTGCTTGAAATTTCCTTTTTCCAGCTGTATGCTTCAAAGCTAACTTAATTCTAATCTTGAATATGTCTTTTGCACTACAAATATATGCGTCAAGTTCTGGCTTGGCCATTTTGCAGAATTTTGAACTTTTCCATGCAATCTTACGGAAGGAAACGATATTTATGCAAAAAACCGCATTTTTAGGTACGTCACGGAAGGAAGAAACAGATGTCATAGAAAGTAAATCATACAAAAAAGTAGTGTCAGGAATCAACAAAGGAAGGGAAAATTTGCTGGTTGGGGGTGGACATTCAGCTAGAGGTCACATTATTTGTTTATCATTTTTTTTCTTCTATTCTGCTATTTGCTTTTATGCGTGAATTTTTCATTTATAGACTAAATTATCAGAATAAAAGCTATCTTCTGATAAGTTGAAAGATGTTTTAATGAAGAGCAGCGGAAAACATATTGAATTAAATAACTGGTTAGCAATCCCAATAAGAAAAAAATTGGGGATTCCTTTTTTGCAGTAGTTTATCAAATCCTTTCTTATAGTTGGTATGGTATTAGAGAAGGCAACACGCATACGGACAAAGTATGAACATGAAGAAAAATTAAAGCAGGAATATCGCAAGGTGGAAGGTATCCGGCGTGTAACCGCTTCATCTTCGGCTAGCTTTTTTATTTTGGACTATATTATACATAAAATAATCGACCAAAGTCTACCTTTCTTGTTTGTCTTATGGACAGATTTTTTTTATAGAAATACAACCTCATGCCAAAAAAATTTCTAATATTAGGTTTCAGAATCTGAGAAAAACTAATATATTAGTCTCCGACTTAAATAAATTTCTCCGACTAACAATTTAAATAAATTTTACCAATAAACTTTTATTAAGCATTGCATGAAGTTTAAAAGAATGAACGATACCATATACAGAGCGGAGATTTTAAATTTTGTATCTGTTAAATTTTAATAATCTTTTATCTGAATCTGGTCTCATAGCTTTTTGTTCAGGAGCACAACACTCGTAAGAGAATTCTGGATTTACCTATTCCAAAAACGCCCGATCTTTCGTCGCAACCACTGAAACCTGATATGTCGATGCATAATGATTCGTTACGGCGGAGTGTATCAGCGAAAAATATCAGTAACTGTTCGGAAACATGTGCAATGGCAGGTGCTTCATCAAAAATTCCCGTGTCGTCAAAATCTACAACAACTATTTGCTGCTCTTTTTCCAGCTCAAATGAATCAAAATCGTTACATCACAATGAATCATCCGGTATCGGTTCTCCAAGTATCCAAGTAAAAAAGCCTCGCCTAGATATGGCAGCTATAGATGCTGTATTGCAAAGTTTACATGGTTTGGATAAAGCCTCCTCTTCTTCTCAGTCATTTTCTACAGCTTCTGTTTCTGGATCATTGACATGAAATAAAAAAGTTTTGTCTCGTTGAATCTATTTATTTAATTTTTTGTTCATCCTTTTAGCGAACATTTTCTACTGCTTATCGAAAAATCTGATTTGAAATTGACTAACTCAGTTTTTTCTCTTTTTTTATTCACCTTTTATCTTATTTTTGATTTCGATAATGTTAAAAAATGCTTTGGAAGCAACGGATTTAATAGCATTGATTTGATATCATTTTTGATGCCGCTAACATAAACGTAAAATGGCATTGCAGTTTATATCGACTGTGTCTTTTATTGATTTTTAGTTTAAGATAAATTTCATTCGTTCTGAATAATACATAGGACTAATTACCTTATTTGTATATTATATGCTTAGTTCTTTGCCGTCCTATATATATTCCCACTGTGTTTATAGATATTATTATCCATATTTATTATTCATATTTCATTTAATCTTTTTTCATAGTTTGTTCTCGATTAGTAATTTTGCTTCAAAGTATTTCTCTATGTAAATTATTTATTTTAACTATGATTTTCATTACTTCAAAGAATTGTGATATTCTCAGAAAATGGGTATCTTTCCTCATTATTCTTTCTCCTCATTCGCTTTCATTTAATTTATTTGCATAATTAACTAATGAATGTTTAAATACGTTTGTTCCATCCGAATAAAAATGCTTGGGAATTCCTTTCAGTTTTTTTCTAAAAAAAATTTTTCAAAAATATTCAGCTGATTTCTGCAAATGTACTTTTCTGGATATGAGATTTGACGAGATTGTGCGGTCTAATTCAAAGAAAATTTTTAAAGTTATGAAGAGGGAAGTAAGCACAGGAGTAAGCAAAAAATAACTATGGGATAGGTGGAAGTGAAGGATAATAGCATTACTTCTGACACCATTATCTTGAAGAAATTATCAGAATTGTACCGACATTATCAACTACCGCGTGCATTGCTTTCATCGATACTTTTCATGGCCGATGATAATTGCTTCAATGATTTTATTACGAATAATCACCGATTGTCTATGAAACAATTCATCCACTTCAAAATATGATTTTTTCGAAGTATGTTTATTATGATCATTTAAAAAAATTTGTCGTTTATCGTGTTGCAACATACCATAAGCAGAATTTGGTATAAAATTATGAAAGTTAAATATAATTAAAATATGTCATAGAAAGTTTAAGCAAGCCATGAAGGAAAAATTGACTCATGAAATTAATCTTTACAGACGAATAAATCAATGAAAGCTTTTTTTCTGTCATTGTTGATAATTTCCTTATTTTTTTTAGTGTCTACACAATTGTTCTATCAACTGATGAGTACATGAATTTATGATTAATGGGTTTTAGGTTAATAACGTTTTTTGAATTTCCTTTTTCAGAAATTGTGTAAAAATTTTTGCTTCATCACATTTCGGACGTTATCTCAGCACGAAAGTACCACAAGGGGCAGTAGAAATGAGTGATGAATTCAACATTATTGCAAAATCATATGGTATACAAAATATAGCATCCGGTGTGCATCGTGTTTTGCTCATTCATCCACGATTACGGCGAGGACCTTTCTTCGATTTAAATCCTACAAAAACTAAACTACAACTAGAAGAAGCAGTTGCATTGGTTAATACTTTGCCGAATTTCAAAGTTATAGAGTAAGTTCCGGTTTCGGTATTTTTTCGGCAGTAGTAAGCAAATATTTTTTTCTAAAAATATTTAGATTTTTTCTAAAAATATTTAGATTTACCGTATTTCTATTTTCAAGAAGTTTATATATGATATATTCTCTTTTTTCTTTTTATTTTTTAAATTTAATTTATTAGATAGGATATTTCCTAAATTATTCAAACATTGAATGCAACGAACTTTTTGGTTATGCGGTTTTAAAATTGATTTCTAACTAATGTTAGCAGTCATTTAATTTCCTCTCATATCGAGATAGTCTAACAATAAATAATTGAGTGAATTGGATGATTTGATTTATATTTTGGATTTGTATCATTGCAGAACAACTGCAGTAAGCACCGATCGCTCTACCGAGAAGAAGCGTCTTTGGGGTGAAGGGCGCATTGAACGAATAATTGCTCTCAAAGAAAAAATCTCTGCCACAGCACTGATGATTGACGTTGATATTCTACAACCAAAGCAGCAGGTTTTTTTTTTTTCATTCTCATTGTCTCCAATCGCTTAGCAAAGCGTCGTTTATCATTCTGAATTATATGAGGTATAATTTCACGAAAAGCGTGATTTTGTTTATGATTTTAAATTTGAAATCAAAAATTAAAATTTAATATTTCCAGAAATGCAAATGAATTTTAATAAGATATTAACTACTATGTTTAGGCTGAATTAACAACAATTTTCCGTGTTCCTATATATGACCGCTACAATATAGTGTTGCTCATTTTCAAAATGTTTGCTAAAACAAAGGAAGCTAAGTTACAAATTCAACTTGCCGAAATCCCTTACATAAGGTTATTTTTATATCAAGTTTTATTTTTCATCACTTTTTGAGATTGCAATTATAATGTTCTTCATTATGATGATTATTATTTATTACTAGCTTCATTTCAAACCTTAGTTTCAAGAGATTTGAAACGCATTTTTTTCTTCTACAGGCAACGATTGTTATCTATGTATGAATTACGTGTGGATCCATCTATTTTCCATTTCGATACATCCGAGAAATCAAAGTTTGCTTCTTGAACTTGATCCCACGAATTAAAAGAAGCATTATAATTTTTTTGGCTCTTGAATTCTAAATACTTTTTAATTCTTTGATTTAGAAAGTTTTTTTAATTTTTTGAATTTGATTCGACAAGTAGGTGATTGTTTTTTTCGTAAGAATTTTCTTAATAATATTGATATTAATATAGACCAGATCTTGTCATTATCTTGAGCAAATAATTGTCTCTAAATGTGTTTTTAGATCTGACAGATTAGAAATTTTACGATATCGTGAGCAACATTTGCGAAAATGCTTAAAAGCTGCAGTAGAAGAAAAAGTTAATTTGCGAATTGGTGAAGCTCGAAAAAATATACGAACAGTAGTTGCTGTAGTTGGATATACGAATGCTGGCAAAAGTTCGTTGATTAAAAGGTTACTTGCAATTTTTTTTTTTATTTCTGGTGAAAAACGAAACCGGATGAGTACAAAATTAACATCTTAAAGCGAAGTAGCATGTTAACATTTTTGAACATTGGTTGAAAATGCACCAATTTTCTGCATAATTCATTGTTTATATCTGTGTTCCTTATTTCATTTCATTTTTGTTTTTTTGTAGGTTAACAAAACGCAATTTATATGTTGAGGATCGTTTATTCGCCACATTAGATACATCATTGCATGTTTTTCGGTTACCATCTGGTTTACCTGTACTTTTTGCGGATACAATTGGATTCATATCAAATCTGCCTACTCAATTACTGGCATCCTTTCAAGCTACACTAAATCACGTTGAGAATGCAGTTAGTTAGCTTTAAAAAAATTCAATCAATCTTTCCCAAAATAATGATATACGCTTTTCCATAGCATAAGTAATATATGTTAAATGATAATTCAATTTTTTTCAGCAGCGAGATTAATTTAATTTGACATGTTGAAAAAATAATTTCAGGATTTATTGTTGCATGTAGAAGATGTTTCGAATCCGGATTATCTTACTCAGCGTGATGTCGTAATGAAAACGTTGTCAGTACTAAAAATTAGGAATGAATTATTGAACTCAATGATTCGGGTTGGAAATAAAATTGATAAGTTAAATCAATTGCCTCCTAATGAACCTAATACATATTTCGTCTCTTGTGCTGATGGTCGTGGATTTGTTGAGTTGTTGACTGCTATCGATAAGGTATTCCTTTCTAACACTTTGTGTTTTCTTTTTTACTTTGTATTTCTTGAGCCCAAGAAATCTTAAATACTTTTATATGATCTCCATTTTCTATATTCTTTCAGATGCCTGCATCTCTCTCTCTTTCTCTCTCTCTCTCTCTCTCTCTTTCTCTCTCT